CCAGTATTTTTTAGCGTCTATGATCTGATCTGATTTGCTGCTTATGCCTATTGCACAGCACCCCACCTTTATCTGAGTGCTCCTAAATTGACTTAACTTTCAATTTGTTTTTATTTTTGTTGTTTTGTCATGGATGCTTGTTTGTCTACTCACTGCAGCACCTGCTGAATAGCTGCTGAGAGTGCATGCCATTTGATATGATATTCCTTTGGATTCTTACTAACTGTGGTTTTTTTGCATTGGGAAGTCCAGGGAACCCATGGTTTGCGTACCCCACTGTCTGACCCTCTTGGCTAATGGATCCCAATGTTTCTGTCACAGGCATTTGCTAACCCAGACTTCTCAATCCTCTCTTTCCTACACACCTGCCATATCGGTTGAGTTTGGCACCTTTAGAGGCTTAGCCCATCATTGTTTGGGTAACATTACGCTCGTGTACAATTTTGTAAGTTGTATGTCATGTTCCTTTCTTTGCACTACTTTAGTGTACGGTGCTGTCAGGAGAATATGAAGCAATGGACAGTCAATTGGACAGGGACAATACCAGCTATACAAATTTGACAAAGGCTCTAACTACTATCTACCCTAAAAAAGGTAATGGCGTAGCTAGGCTTTAATATTTTATCTAGGCTCACACATACTGTGATCATAGAAACTGAAAGACACAAAGGACATGAAAAACAGGCCACTAGGTTGTATACTAATAATATATTTATATATAAAGGTATATATTATATCAAAACAGGACAAGTATCAGTTTTATATAGTACATAGAAGTAACAGTCCGTGATCAGAAGGCTTCACTTTGGAAAGGGCTCAGTTGGTGCACAAAGTAGGTAGATGGCACAGCATTGTATAGTTTGTCCCTCAGGGATGGATGACAGTAATGTGACATGGTCAACCAGTCATGTTCCTAACAACAAAGTATCCAAGTCCACCGTTGTGGTCTTCTAAAACAATAGTATTGTACAATAATGGATAAGACAATTCTGAGCTTCCATTTTGGGTTCTTGGCAGAACTGCATTTACAGGCAGCGCTGTTTGGACTTCTGTTAATGAAGCATTGTCCATTATTTATTTAAATTTCACCTTGAGTGGAAGAGAGTAAACATAACATATCCAGCTTTTTGTTTGCTGTCTGGGCAGGAGTTGAGATATTATAAATCTTCCTCTTGACTGCAGTTCACAGTGGATTAGAAGTATTGGGGAATCTGTGGAAACAGTGCCTTGTACATAGGGAAACCTCGGCTTTTCATTGACCGGTCACCTGCCTATTGCAGTCAGGTGGCCTGAACAGACAAAAATATGACACCCTACTATACATTTCACAGCCTCTTAATTATACAGGATCCAACAGCATTACTAGGACAAAAATGATCGACAGAACTGAACTCTATTACCATCATTGAGTCTACATGTGCCATTCAATGTACAGTCGGTAGTAAAGACAAAGATCTGATTACTGAAAATTTACTATATGTGCTGTCATGGTTTCCCTCTCAATTTCTTACTTGTGCCAGAGATCAGCAAAGAAAACTTTTTAGACAGAGTCTTTAACCCTTCCCTACTTTATCCAAAATTAAATAGAAAGATTTGGCTTAGCTTAAGATTTAGTATTATCCTCAGGGCCCTGCTACTGATCTGTCCATACTAAAATGGCATTATTTTTTAGGTTTCACAAAGTACCTCTATTATAAAAGTCATGGCAGTGTTATCTTTGTGTTTATAGATGGATTGCACATACTGAAAGACATTTATCATCCATTCATTCATTCAGTGCACTCAGAACACTTGACAATGTATGTGCTTTCCAAAAATGTGTTCTGTTGTTATGAACCTTACAAAGTAGTAAAACGTATACACAGGGCTTTTTTTCAGAGAAAATGGGTGTGGGAACTTAACCACGATCCCCCCCCCCCCCACACACACACACACACCCTCCAAACAGCATCAAATAGTGGGTGTGGTCAAATGTCACTATCAGTGGGAGGGTCTTAAAGGGGCATTAAATACCAGTGGGGCATTACATACAGAGTGCAAAGTTTGGGGGGAGGGGGGGGGGTTACACACAGATTGCAGAGTTCAAAGGTGTGCTACGTGCAGAGTTTGGGGGTATGCTATGTACACAGTGCAGAGTTCAAGGGTGCGTTGCATACAGAGCACAGAATTCAGTCTTCTTCTACAGCTGCTTACCTCTGCATCCCCCATCCACATCTCACTTTCACCCCTTTCAGCTCTGTTTTCTACATGCAGCCTCCCTCCATTGCCCACATCTTCTTAAAAGCTCCACCATCTTCCACCTGTCTTGTTTTTGTTGCTGTATTAAGGTAAAGCACCCAGCTGGTTCTAGTACCTCCCCGCACACTGTAGGTAGCTCTGCCTCTCTCAGTTGCAGGGAGAGAATGCAGTGGGGGTGTCAACATCTCCGTCATCTTCATCCTGTACACACTGGGAGCTGCTCAGGAGATCAGATCTGTGGGAGCCGTTGGGAGACAAGCTGTCATGTGTAAACACAGAAGCCAGACTTCTGCACTTACAAGTGATAGTGGTGAGCAGGGAGCAGAGGGTCTGACTAAGGGGTCCACCAAGTTCCAGCTGAAAAAAAGCCCTACGTATACAATATTGCTTGTTGGTAATAGATACCTCAGAAGGAAATACAATGCAGGGTAGAAATATGTGCAAACAGCAGAAACTGCATGTTTTTCACAAAGCACAAGATCTGGGAATGTCCCCCACTGTATGGACTATGAGTATCCATTACTTACTTGATTAGATTATTTTAGTATTGTTATTCTCTGTACATTTGTATTGAAATATTATAAATCACTGGACATTTCCACATTGACAGTTATTGGGATTTTATTTAACAAAGTTTATTTTAAAATTTTCAATTACCCTTTCTCCTTTTAGAACAATTAGCAATCTATTCTGTTAAAGGAGAAGTACCAACTTAATACTGAAACCGTGTTTGTGCAGGACATGCAAACAACTGATGTTATTCTAAATAAACAGATGTACCAATCTTCCTGAATTGGGTAAAAGACTCCCGTTTAGGTAAAACTAAATCCCTATATCTAAACCCAAAAAGAAAATTGAATACATTTAGACTTACCCATCCTTAAGGAGGTGGCTGCATTTGTTTTCTTTTTTTCAGTTATTTTACCTTTATTTTTACATGGTCATCCTGCCAAAAACTTAATGTCACATTGGATTACACTCAATTTTCTACTGTATCAATGGAAAGAGCCATGATTGTCGCAAAGGCTGGACTTCAAACATATCTGCCTTTGCCCATCTCCATTACATGGTGAATTGAGGGGACTAGTAGTTTACACAATAAAGATAAGGATGTCCGTGGTTTTTCTTTTCAGCTCATGGGATGAGACAAGGGTGCTGCACTTCTAGCAAGATCAACTGGTATGTTATTTACTTGCTGAAAATGTTCCTAACCTGAAAAGTGAAAATGAATGTAGCCATTACATCTAAGGACCAGTAAGCTAAAATATATTACATTTTTAATTTGGGGTTTAGATATGCTTAAATGAACGTCCCCCTTTCCAAGAGTATTGGTCCAAATCTAGCCGTTAGTAAGGCAGCCAATGAGATCTCTGCAGCTGACTTCTCAGCTTCTCCAATCACATGCTGCTATAAACCATCCACCAGAGAAATGATTGGTCACCTAATACTGATAGGAAAATGGCAGTTCCTGATCTTCTTAACACAAACAATAGGTGGTTAATAAAGAATCTCAACGGATATCTTATCTTTGTTTCCATGTACATGCTCAGAGATTGGCTGAAGTTATGGAAATTGTTTATATTGTACAAAAGTAGCTGTGTATAGGCACTTTGTAGGCCATTGTAGTCTGATTTCTTTTTATATTCTAAAGAAAGCAGCAGGAAAATTGAGACTCATGTGCTTGCCTTCATAATGGAAGTGGTAGATACAGAGTCAGGACCTCCAATTGGGGGTCCCTGAGTCACTAAAGAATAGATCTAGGGAAGAGTTTTGTAAAAAAGAAGTGAGACGAGAGTTGCATCTCTTGGTTCTTCCTTTGGGGCTCTGCTGTAAAAGGAGCTGGGGCTCTGAGTAAATACACCTTTTGGCACAGAAATATGGGGGCTGCTATTGCTGACCTCTAGTTCTGTGGTTATTATACTGACCTTTTGGCTTTAATTCTTTCTGGAGAAATTATGAATATCAGGAAATCCAAGAACAGATAGCGGTTCTTTCATATGAGGTGTGTTGGGACTGTGCTGGGCCCTACCCAGTGTGGTCCCAAGGCAAGACAAGGCAAAAAGCCTTGTTTCCTATGGGGACAGTTTACACTACTGCGCTGCAGACCACAGACCTTAATGAAATGTCACTTAAGACATTTTAAAAAAGTTCTAACATCGACATGGTTCTTTCCACACCAGCTTCCGTGTAGTCAATGCAGCTGCTGGTGTGAAAAAGCCCTCAATTGCTTCTTTGTTCTGGATCAGGGACTCGGATTATTGAAGGTCAGCATGACAGCCAGACAGCTAGCATTTGCAGAACTAATAGTCTGTAATGGCAGCCTCAATGTTTCTCTCTGAAAAGGTTTCTTTGAAACATAGATGTTTTTCTGCAAGGTACAGGATCGGCATTAGAACTGTTTTTGAGTGATAGATTTTTGTGGCTTAATAAGTCCATTTTAGAAACTGTACATCAGACATTATACAGAAAAATTGAAGATAAACCTTAGCAAGTGTGTTTTCCTTGGAGAATTCTGGAAAATCTGTGACAAAACAAGTATTACAGTCTCTTATTATTGGTTTAAATTGTGGTCATTTGTCTATAGTTTAGGTTTTGTTTTAGTTCAGTGTCCAGTTTCTGTTCCTTGGTAACAAAAACAGAATTTTCCAGATATCTGTGGCTGGGCCCTTGTAGGACGGACAGTCATCCATTTTGTTTTCCTTCCATGTGTAATTAGCGTTTACTGCTGAGTATGATGAGGAGTAAAAGGCTTCTGAGGAGATTCAGTTTTCATCAGAGAAGAAGGAGGCATGGACGATCCCAGGACTGGCAGAGCCTCCAGGGGGAGTGAAGCTGTCCCCTTCTGAGTGTTCTGACAGCTCTCCGTATTCACTGTTATAAAATGTTTGCCCTCCACTATAAAATGGGTATGAGGGGTGACTCCGGTTCTGGGGGGATGAACAGCCTGAAGCTATATCCTTGTTTCTACGGGAGCTTTTACTGCTGCAAAAAAATACATTGAAGAAAGTATAAGAATCATTCTTACATAATACACTACACTGAATAAGGCCATATTTCATGAGGCTAATATTTTCACTGCCACATAAAGAAATGTACCCTTACCAAATATTCCACTGTAGCAGCCATCTTTTGTTTGGACAATAAAATTAAAAATTGCAGTATTTATTTTCAATCATTATCACATTCAGAGTAATAAAAGTTTAACTCCTGTTAACTCCTTATTTTTTTAAGCTTTGAATAGAGTGGAAATATTTAAAATGTTGTCATGTTTTTATTTTTGTCTCTATGGAGATTTTCTCCTTGTTTTCTGTCCTTGTGACACCCGTACAAGAAGTAGGTGATGCCGTTGTAACCAGGACAGGAAAGTATGGACAGCAATACACTGCTAGCAGGAATTCTAATCCTTTCCCACTCTGCTAAACATGTGTTTTTGTCTATGTTTCTCTCGGAGAGACTTCTCATTGCTTTTTATCCTGATAGGAAGTGAGTGAAAATCTTTGCAGAAGGCACACAAATGACAATAAACACCTAACAGAAGTTCTAATCTTCCTCACACTATTAAAAATCAAATAAACCTTTATTGTTGGAGTTGGGCTTTAGGCTCAAAGGAGAAGCATGGCCAAGGCTTTTTTGGCCCTTCCTCTCCCCCCATTTAGTTCTGCACTCCTGTGATACTTATTTAGCTGATAGAGCCGGTCCAGGCTCTGTAGGGATCCTGACAATAATGTCAGGAAGCACCCAGTTGCCTGACTGGCAGCCAACTCAGCCTTTCAATGCACTGCTGAGAGCCTAAGCCAGATCCCACCCTCGCCACAATCCGGCACTCCAGTAAGTGCCAGAGAGGCAGAACACAGACTGCTCTGTGCTCAGAGGGGACTTGAGAACTGAGTGATCAGTGGTCTTTGATTGCTTAATTCTCGGTGTAGAGGTGTTGGGGGGACAGATGCAGCATTGGATTATCATAGGTGAGTATAAATGTTTATTTTTTTTAAATCCTGCACTGATCTTTTAAAGTTTACATCTGCTTCAGAAAAGTACCAGGGAAGCAGGTTGGGGCTCACTAATCAGTGATATACCCAAATGGTAAAAGCCACATTGTACAGTACCACCAGCCAAATTTTTATTATCACTGGCTCACGGAGCAAATGCCGTGTCTATGCTCTGCTGGTGAAAGGTCCTGGCACCTAATGTTCAAGGTTTTTCTGTACAGCTAATATTTTATGCAGTGTGATGTCTCAACAGGTTGACAATCATTACTGGGATAACAATTCTGAATATATCATTATGCAAAAATGTACTAGCATGACCTAGGTGACATAATGTGCATCAAATACCTGAATCCCCCTTCTGTCCTGTGTCTGTTCTCTATCTTCTCCAGTTCCTCTGAAGCCAGTACCATCCCACTGTCAGTCTGATTGTCCTGTTTACATAAATAGCAAGAAGAGAATATCATGATCAATAGGTTAACAGCTATTAAACTCAAATCAAGGTAGTGTTCTTTAGTGTTAGAACCAGCTCACCTTTGTATGGATTCTATTACAGCCTGATATGTATATCGTGGCACACATATTTGATTGTTATGTAGACAGTCATGTGAAAAAGTAAGAACACCCCATACAAATTGTTGCCTTTTTCAATGTGATCGAACAGGCAAACATTAGATCTTCATTCAAACAGTCCATATACTTATATGGGTGCCACATAAAATCAACATGATATATTCACTTTCGCTTTTCTAAACTCAAGAAAATACAGATTTGTCACATGGAAAAATAAGTGCAATCCCACATTTAACACCACGTATATAAATGGAACTAGAATCATGTGTTCCATATTAGGTAATAATGATTGCAACCTCCTTAGAGAATATCCAGGTGGAAACTCAGATATCTAGGGTCTGGTGCTCTCTTTCTTATTGATGTGCGTGGTATCATCATGCCAAGATCAAAAGAGCTCTCTAAGGCCCTCTGAAAGAAAAGTTGTGGATGCCTATGAGTCTGGCAAGGGATTTTAGGGCAATTGTTCCACTGTAAGGAAAATAATCTACAAGCGGCATACATTTCAGGCAACTGCTAATTTGTCTAGGACTAGTCGGTCCGGCAAATTCAACCCTGGAGCTGACTGATGCTAAAAGGACTCTTCAGGAACTCCAAGGTGTAATCAAAGAATGTACAGACAACTTGGAACGCCTGGTGCCAAGAGCTTGCATCAACAATCAGAAGGAGATTGCATCAATTTAACCTACGTGAATGGTGTGCCGGGAACAGGCTGTCTAAAAAGAACAGACCTCTTGTACTAGGGTGAGGCCATCTCTCTGAAAGTTGAACTAGAAATGGATGTTTTAACATGATAATGATCCAAAACACACTAGCAAACCCGCCAAAGAATGTCACAAAAAGAACTAAAGGAGAGTAATGGACTGGCCTATTCAGAGCCCCCATCTGATTTCCAATGAAATGTTGTGGAGGAATCTCAAATGGGCAGTTTATGGAAGGAAATCCAGAAACATCTTGTAACTTAAAGAATTTTGTCAGAGACAATGGGCAGTTATGCAAAATGCCTACAAGATATCATTTATTCTAAAGAGGGAAATACCGAAGGTGTAGTTACTTGCTCCACAGTACACCATTACATCTATTGATTTTTTTTCAAACTGAAAGGGCCAGTTTTCCCTGTGATTTTATTTGAGCAGTGTTTGAATGAAATTCTAATGTTTGCCTGTGCAAAGATGTTGAAAAAGTGAACTATTTTTCATAGAGTGTACTTACTTTTTCACATGAATGTACATGCTATGCTGAAAAATGTTGCATAGAGATTGCACTTGTTTATAATGAATTCTACTGATAAATCAAAGTACACATACAATTATTATTTAAGTTTAAAACATGCAAACAAATTCATGGGAGTTAAAGCATTTGTAAAGTCTTTTTTTTCCTTTAAAATAACAAACAGGTCTATACTTACCTTCTCTTTGTAATGGTTTTGCACAGAGCAGCTCCAATCCTCCTCTTCTCGGCTCCCCATCCGGTGCTCCTGGCTCCTCCTCTTCTTTGTGCACCACCATAGGAAGCTGCTTTCTATGGTCGCACACCTGCAGGCTCAAGCAAGATCAAAAGCTAGATCAAAAACCAGGCTCAAGCAAGTATAAGGGGGGTTGGGGGGGCAGTATGCACACTAAACATTTTTGCCTTAATGCATTTCCTGCATTAAGGTAAGAAATGTTTTAAAGTGTTACTAAACCCAGGACCCTGCATTCACTCTATCTGGTCTATCACAGTACACACAACATGGAAATGCAATTATTTTAGTATATATAAATTGCTACTGTAAATACCTTTTCTCATCAATAGTTAGAGCAGTCTTGTGACTTCAGCAGAGCACTGGTTAAAGCTTGTAGGAGGAGTTTTCTTTTTGATCTAGGAGGATGTGAAAGTCCTGACCCTTTGTCTGGACAGTGCTGATTGGCCCTGTGCTGATCACATGCACTCTCCCAAGAAAAAAAAAAAAAACAAACCTCTAGCAATACACACCAAACTGAGCATGTGCACGTGACTACGGATTCAGTCTGTATCAGGTGGTCATTTCAACAAGAGGAGAGGCAGAGAAGTCAGGATCAAACAGCCTTTTTACACAGTGCAGCGGATTAACCCCTTAGGTTCCACAGTGAGTATAACAAGCATGCTTTACTGCATATACAGACTGATTTAACTGTTGTGGGTTTGGTAACACTTCAAGCTTTATAACCACTTTAAGCAAGGTAGACATGGGCCAAATTTCATGTACCATTGCAGTGTGTGCCACTGTCTGTTCAACATGACTTAATGATTGGTTTCTGTTGAACATTCAATGGTGTTTTCTGGTGGGAAGGGGGAGACTGCACATGCCGCACACATGGGCAGCACAGTGGCTAAGTGGTGGGTAGCATGGTGGCTAAGTGGTTAGCACTTCCGCCTGGCAGCACTAGGGTTGTTAGTTTGATTCCCAACCACGGCACTACCTGCACAGAGTTTGCATGGTCTCCCTGTGTCTGCGTGGGTTTACTCTGGGTACTCCGGTTTCCTCCAACACTCCAAAGACATGCTGGTAGATTAATTGGCTCCTGTCTAAATTGGCCCTAGTATGTGTATGTATGAATGTGAGTTAGGGAACCTTAGATCATACACCCTTGAGGGTTAGGGACTGATGTGAATGTACAATATATATGTAAAGTGATGCATAAATTGATGGTGCTATATACCTGTAATAAATGACCTCCTATACAAGAGAGCAGGTGTATGCGACTGTGCCTTTGTAAACATGGATGCTTTTTTGCATGAACAATTACCCACACATGTGCATTAGACGTATTTTCCAAACTGCAAAGTTTCATATTCGGAAAAGCATGTGCAGGTAAATAAGCCTCTGCGAATACAGCTATTCTTTTTTATTGCAGGCATGTACAGCTCCCTGGGCTGTGTAATGCCTGTGTAAGCCCCATGTGCATAAACCTAAGCATGAGAATGGAACAATGTTGTTTTGTAAAAAAGGATATGTCATTTTTACTAATTAAAGTGTTACTAAACCCCGGACCCTGCGTTCACTATATTCGGTCGCACACAGTACACAGAACATGAAAAATGCAATTATTTTAGTAAATATAAACTGTTAAATACCTTTTCTCATCAGCAGTAAATAGCAGACATGTGACTTCTATCAGTGTCCAGGTGAGTACTGGTTAATCTTGTAGGTTGAGTTTTCATTCTGCTCTGACTGTCCTATGAGGCTGCATGACCCCTGACCCTCTTTCTGGACAGGGCTGATTGGCCCTGTGTTGATCACATGCACCCTCCCAAAGGAAAAAAAACTCTCTAGCCATACACACTAAACTGAACATGTGCAGAATGACTCCTAGAGCTCTGTACTATCAGCAGATGGATTGGGGACAGTAGAAGAAGGGGAAGGATCAGAGAAGACAGGATCAAACAGCCACAAAATGGAGGATTAACCCCTTAGGTTCCACAGTGAGTATACCAAGCATGCTTTACTGCATATACAGACTGATTTTACTATTATGGGTTTAGTAACACTTTAACAATAGAAAAAAAAAAGAAAAACATAATCAATAAGTAACTATCTACTGTTCTGTGCAAAGTTTGTTTCCAAAATTATTATATAATAAAGACTGCATTGCAAAGGCACAGTATTGTGGCAGTTATTAGCATATTCCACCCATTTACCCATATTCCACCCATTCACCCCATGTTCTAGTGAATTTATTAGGACATCCACAGTGATCTGGTAGAGTGGATCCGGTAAAGTAGAAGCACCTTATAGAAAGATTGCACTTCACTGCTCCTCTGATTTCTGTGCAGGTCTAGGAGAATCCATAAACCAGTAATGAATAATTAGCACAATAATGCCCTAACATGGTTTATCCTGATACTGGCTTATGCCGGCCATACATGGGTCGAAATTCGACCGATTTTGCGCCTGAAAATCTTACCTAAGAATAATCGGCCGATTGTTAGTGGGTCAATGTCACCGCCCGATTTTCGTGATTCCTCCCCTTTACGCTGATCGTGCATGTTGGAAAATTCGTGAAAAACGACCGATATTTGACTCAATGATGGTGAAATCGTACAATCGTTTTTCCGAAAAAAGAATATGCGCATGAGCCATGACTTGGAAGGAATAGAAGTTTCGCCTGTTATATGGGGTGAATTTTTTGACTTGGTCGACCAACTTTCAAAATCATTGATGGCACCATCAGATTACCAAGCAAACAACGTTTTTGATTTTTGAACAAAAAATCGTTCGGAATTCGACCCATGTATGGCCTGCATTAATCTCAGTAATCCTTCAGAAATAGTACCAAATGTAACCACACTTTTTGACCTACAGATAACCACTACAGGGAGCACCAACAAATCTGCATATAAGACATTCATTAAAATATGATACACATTTCTAGTACAAACTTTGCAAAAGTTACTTTCAATTCAATAAACAAAACATCCTATTAAAGACCATTTCTAAAATCCCATATCAAGCACTTATGGATTTGGCTGTTAATGTGTACAGCTCTCCTCTGCAGAAATAATGTGCTGATCGGTATTACATGAACCCCTTAGATGTACAGAAATGGAGTCCACAAAAGAGACAGAGCATCTGAAGGCTTTATTCCGAACGGCACATGCAGCAGAAACCAATTACCTTGACATGATTTAGGCTGTTGCACTTAGTCACAAAGCAATTAGCCTTATGATGAAGCACAAAATACATCAAGGAATTTAGTTCCTACTGTATGTGCTTTTGGAATAAACTCTCCCGTTAGCTGAAAGAGATCCAGGTTGTGTGCCAGTGTAGCAGTATTTGTCTACGTCTGTGGTTTGGACTACATGAACCCAGACTAAACTTACCGGGTGCCCTTTGTGTGCCAAGTGTGTCATTGGAAATTCTTCAAAGGTTTTCAGTCTTGCCGGGCAACGGATTTGATTACCACCAGTGAAGCAGCCAGGAAAGGAAACACAGTTGTAATATCTAGATAGATAAAGTACAAATAAAGCAATGTTGTGTCAGAAGTCGAACATTACAGTATAATAAGATGCAACAACACAGTGACACAATTTCAAAGTAATTTGCATCATAGACAAACTCCACAGTCTACCCTGTAGTCATAATTAACATAAAGGGGTAGACTGAGCTAAGAAGACATATTAGGAATGAAGTATTAAAATATCAGTAAATAATTGCGAGCACACTTAAAAGCTGCTACGCACTAAAGGTAACCAATAAACCTCCATTTTAATGTAATTTTACCTGTAATTTTACCTGGATACCTGCTGTTATTATCTGGATGTCTTTTCGCTTAATAAACTAGTCATACTACACTATGGAGATCTCTCTGCTTTAACTCCCCTGGGGAGGATTAATTCACAGATACCCAGTATCCAGAGAGGGAGTCCCTGTACACCTTGTGAGCTGATCCCTCCATCCCTTAAAGGGATCTCTGGCATCCTCCCAGTATATACCAGATGCTTCAGGATCCAGACTTATCCAGTGAGGGATCCCACTTCATTCCTGCCCAGACTTGGATGACATCAGGATATTTATGCATTAATGCGCATTTTATTATGCGCTCTGGTGAGTGCGCATTCTCCTCATTTTGACTGCACAAGCACCGAGTTCTAAATGAACACAGGATTCCCGCTCACATTAATAGTCACTCTATGAACTATTTTTAATATAGTGATTTTATTATTATTATAGGAATGAAGTAATGCCCACTTTAGGACTAGCAATTTTGTCTTCCTTTTAAGGATAGGCATATTTTTATTATCATTCTATAAACATGTTATATATGAAAGAAATGAATCGAAGCTGGCCATACATTCCCCCATCCACACATTGTGGGAATCCTCCCTGCTGTGTTACTGTATTCTGACAGCAGAAGAGTCAGCTAGGCTTCTCCGTTGTCAGAATACACTGATCAGCGCTGCAGCCTATTTGCTGCAGAGCTGATCGAACTAATGTTTTCCAGCAAGCCTGTTCATGAGTAGTCGATCAGTATATTGACTGCTCTCAAACAAGACTAGCCACAGATGGATTGAAATTCGGCTGGTCCCCAATGAACCAGCCAAATTTTGATCTATCTTTGGCCAGCTTAAAGTGGTAGTAAATCTGTTTTTAAATATGGAAAGATCCTCCTGCGCTTAATGGAGCGCCTATCGTTATAAGCAGCTAGCACTCAAACTGATACCATACAGTAAAAAGACAGAACATAAACCAAGTAGTGCAGCGCTCAATTCCAGACCAATGTCACATATAAACAAATGAAAAATGTTTACAAATCAAAAACAAAACACACAATAATACCAACTGTTGCCAGAGCACTATTAATAAATATATATAAATATATAAATGACTATTAGCAGTAGATATGTCAACCTCACTCCCATTCAATATTGTGATCAGTGAATAAAATCAATCAGGCGGGTAAAAAAAGTTCGTAAATAAGTGATGGTGTTCAATATAGAAAAAATTTGTGCATCGTGCGTGATCACACAAAACTTCCAGTATCAGTGAGTGACTCTCCTTCTATAGCTGAATTGCCTCCTCACCTCCACTCTGCAGCCCACTGGGCCAACATGCCTTCAAGATCACTCAGAATCTTACTCCAATACTGTCAGATAAGCTCCTTCAGATCTTCCATCATATGGGGATGATACACCAGATGTCCTAGTTCCTGATCTCCGCTAAATGTACCACTCATCCAGATAGAGTAAATATAAAAAGATACTCTGATAGTGTAGTATGCCGAAGTAAAAGTGCTTTTATTTATTTAAAACAGAGAAAAATGGCAATTACATGGCATTCCTCGGTTCTCTCCAAAAGCATGGGTGTACTGCATGGGTGAAAGTGTCTATTTCCTGGGTGGACCAAGATGGCGGATGAACTGGAAGTACGTCACCGCTGTTTGGATACTGCGTCCTTGTGTATCTATGCGTTACATCACCGTTCGCGTGACTTCATCAGGAAATAGGCACTTTCACCCATGCAGTACACCCATGCTGGTGGGGAGAACAGAGGAATGCCATGTAAGTGCCACCTATATATTTATATATATTTATAATAGCAAATCTATTTTTTTTTTTTCCTAATCTTACCTACAGGTAAGCGTAAAATAAAGTTTACCTGTGGGTAAAATTAATATCTCCTAAACGTGCACCGTTTAGGATAGTCTCTCTTTTCTAAAGCTGGCACATGCAGTCTGAAGGAACGGCATACCCGTACCGTTCCTTCAGAGCTGTATGACGTGACGTCATTGCAGCCTAGCCTGTCAGACGGCCGGAGCTCGTGAACCCGAAAGGAAGACTGATGAAGATGGACGCCTCTGCAGCGGTGACAACACGCCGCTGGAGTGCTTTGTTTTAAGGTAAGTGTTTTACATAATGTGCTAGTATGCAATGCATGATTTAGTAATTCTGGGTATAGGGCGCGCCACCATTCACGGCTTTGGCTGTCAATCGCTGGGTTCCAGTTGGTGAATACTCGACAGCACCCGGAGATCGCCAATACCAAAGGGGGAAGAGAACTGTATGCAAACAATACAGTTCTCTCCCCTGTCAGCTCCTGCACAATGCTTTGTATGGCTCTGCATAGCACAGCCATACAAAGCAGTGTGCTTACAGGGAAACACACACACAGCCCCCATAGTGAAACAGCACACAGTTAACCCTTTGATCACCCCAGATGTTAACCCCTTCTTGCCCAGTGCCATTAGTACAGTGTCGGTGCTTTTTATTAGCACTGATCACTGTATTGGTGTCACTGGGGATGTCAGTGACACCAAGTCAGTTCCCCCCAGTGTCAGAATGCCTGACGCAGTCCTGCTATAAGTTGCTGATTACTAGTAAAAAAAAAAATTCCAGTATATATACCGCCATTTCTACACGCTATAACTTTTACAGAAACCAATAATTTACACATATTTGGATTTTTTTTTTAGCAAAGACATGTAGCAGAATACATTTTGACCTAAATTTATGACGAAATTTGATTACTGGACATGTTTAATAGCAAAAAGTCAGAAATATAGTTTTTTTTTTTTTCAAACTTGTTGGTCTTTTTTTGTTTATAGTGCAAAAAATAAAAAAAACACACAGGCAATCAAATACCACTGAAAGAAAGCTCTATTTGTGGGGAAAAAAGGACATAAATTTCATTTGGGTGCAGCGTGCATGACCGCACAATTGTCAGTTAAGGCAACGCAGCACCGTATTGCAAAAAATGGCCTGGTTAGGAAGGGGGTAAATCCTCTGGAGGGCAAGTGGTTAACTTCAAAAGGTTTAATTTGAGCAACAATTACACATAGCAGGATGTTCAATAACATTGTAATATTATGAATCATAAAATCCAGTATTATCAATGCTCAACCCAAAACATCACTGCTCTAGAGGAGATCTGCATGGAGGAATGGGCCAACATACCAGCAACAGTGTGTGCCAACCTTGTGAAGACTTACAGGAAACGTTTGACCTCTGTCATTGCCAACAAAGGATATATAACAAAGTATTGAGATGAACTTTTGATATTGACCAAATACTTATTTTCCACCATAATTTGCAAATAAATTCTTTCCAAATCAGCCAATGTGATTGTCTGGATTATTTTTCTCATTTTGTCTCTCATAGTTGAGGTCTACCTATGATGCCAATTACAGGCCTCTCTCATCTTTTTAAGTGGGAGAACTTGCACAATTAGTGGCTGACTAAATACTTTTTTGCCCCACTGTACTATGCATTTGATAGGTAGTAGTTGTCAGTGTGGCTGTGATTGTTTGTTAGGTAAAAGCATAGTTTGCTCACCGTTTTCAGTAAAGCTGCATTCTGCGGGTCAGGTCTGCTCAGTGTATTCAGCTGCTGCCAGTCTGATAGATCCCTCTCCATCCTGAGAGTTTGAAAATTTCTGGCTGATAGGTGTGGAGCTATGCATACGGCAACATGAACATTGATACAGCCCTGGCCTATCCCAGAGAGGCAGGCTCTGATGGCATGCTGGGAGACTGTATATATTCTGCGAGCACACTGAGCTCGGGGTCTTTTCCTTAAGAGTATTAGCCCAGCCTGGAGGGTGCATGCTGCCCTTCCAGGCAATGCTGTTATGTCTGTTGTCATGAGGTCTCAGGTGGGCGACCTGAGGGCCTGGATGCTGAGACCCTAGAATTAAAGACCCTGACTGAGGGGGGCTGTCTGCTGAAGATCTGGTCTAGTATCATTGGAGTAAGGAGTCGCTTGGAAGTTGGGAGGAGGCAACCAGTTGTCTTTGGGTCTTGTGTGAGTACAGACACTTCTAAGAGATCTTAGCGACCCTTCTGCTTTTGCCACCCCTTTAGTGCTAGAGATACAGCTGTGGGTCTAGTTAAAGGGGACATCGGCTTGTGTCTTGAAGAGCTTTGTCCATCTAATCCTCTACTTAAAGGGACTCTGCTGTTGTGGCTCTAAGAAAGAGATGTACAGTTAACTGCTACCACACTACTACTACTACTAACTTAAAGCTAAAGTCTACTGTTTGTTATAAACAAGACTTTAATATAGCTTGTTCTGAGGAATACCTAAGTCCTTAAGTTGTACATAGTTCTTGTTTTTGGAGTATCTGACTCAATTCCTTCAACCCTATCTAAGTTCTCCAAAAATAAAGACAGCAAAAACAACACCTCTAGACTGCTCATTGAAGAACCATGTTAATGAACTTGTGTGGCTGGTTGCGGGACAAAGCTTGTGGGGAAGACCTGCACAGTATCCCTGTGGCTCCTATGGAAAACATACATACATAAAACATACATTGCTAAAATGTACATTTCTCCTATAAGTCAAAAACTAGTACTGGAAAGAATTAACACCTTTACATTATTCTAACTTAACATTTTGTGTTTTCCCAATCAAAGATATTTAGTTAGGAGAACCTAAATTAAGTGAGTCATGCAAATTTAGAATGTTATGTTGTGTTAGCAAAACATTGCCTTATTTATTGCAGACATTTATATAGCGCTATGAATTTTATGCAGTGCCTTACATTCTAGTCTCTGCCCTCAAGGAGCTTACAATCTAAGGTTCCTAGCTTGCATACATATACCAATTAACCTACCAGCAAGGTCTTTGGAGTGTAGAAGGAAACCCACACAAGCACAGAGAGAACCTGCAAACTCTTTGCAGATAGCAACCTAGCCGGTACTTTCCCACTGCTGCAAGGCCGCAATGATATCCACTAAGCCACTTAGCCTTCGCTTTAATTATAGTACTTCTAGTGTGTATTTTGTATAAAGTGAATTCATAAATAAGGTGTTTTTGACAGAAATGCATTGCTACACTAAAAAAATATATAAATATATAAAAAAAGTTATTACTATATAAAAGGTATTAATGTAGTATTATTACCATATATAAGCAATTTTACCTTAACAATAAAAATGCTGAATAAACAGACTAAAGTCTCATTCCATATAAAAAAAAAAAAAATTAAACAAAGAGAAAAAAATAAGGTAGCCTAAACTGTGCTTATTTATATATTTTGCTGTAAATATATTCACAATATTGATGCATTTTTATTGTTAATGAGAATTGGTTGTATATGGTAATAAAGACATACTGCTTTTTAGTGTAGCAATATAGTCCTGCTAAAAACATTTTCTTGCATCCGCATTACATCACATGGTAGAAGTGATTTTCATTTACAGTGCCTTGTAAAAGTATTCATACCCCTTGAAATTTTCCACATTTTGTCATGTTACAACTAAAAATGTAAATGTATTTTATTGGGATTTTATGTGATAGACCAACACAAAGTGGCACATAGTTGTGAAGTGGAAGGAAAATGATAAATGGTTCTCACCCAGGGGTCGACTGACCATTCAAGCACTCGGGCACCGCCCGAGGGCCCGGGGTCAGTAGGGGGCCCCATGAAATGCCCCTGGTACCTTTTTTATATAGGCTTTTTTGGTGTACTCTGAGTGTGGGCAAGGGCACAGGAGCCCCATGATCTTCTATTGCCCGGGGGCCCCATGAGTTATCAGTCCGCCCCTGTTCTCAGCCTGTCTTGCTTGAGGGCAGGGACTAATGTGAATGTATGTAAGGCACTGCGTAAAATTTTCAGAGTTATATAAATGCCTGAAATGCAGGGGGCGGACAGCTGAAGTTGCATCAGTGAAGAGAGCTCTGAGAGCTGATTGGAGGGAAGGGACACACCACCCTTCACACAGCACACAGAAACAGAGATGAGGCTGTCAATCTCTTGGTGTCAGGAAAACTTGTCAGAAATTATTCATACTGATAACAGAGGAATGAGGCAGCGAACAGAAATGACAATTAGTGCTCTGGATTGAGACAAGTGCACATTATAGAGGGATATGCTTTGTTCATATTTCATGTTTGAGTTTTACAACCATTCTATGTTTCCCTAGCTACATATTTTTAATTGAGAAAACACAGATTGTTAGGTTAGAATAGCTTACAGTATATTGTTGGTATTAATGAATTTTCTCAAGTACTAGCTTTTGATGTAAACCAACAAACCATATATATAGATCTACAGTAAATCAGAGAAATGTCATCTGCTGCTGGAATCTTGGTGTTGCTCAATTTTAGTATGGGACCTGTATATTCCCAGAGAAAGGTTTTCCGGGTGCAGCACAAGGTGGTTATGTAGTAGAAAAAGGATTAAGTATTTATTGACAATTTTCAGTTGTGGGGTGTGGTAGGTTTTTGCCCCTAAGGGGAGCCTTTCATGTAGCTCTTTCTTTAGGCACACCATTGCCCTATAATATCTGTGTTCAGGTGTATTCTGCACCTCAGTGTAATGACCATTGTGCCACATTTCTCTCCCCCCGACCCATTTGCTATTGCCTTATCCTGTTCAATTCTGTTCTGTAAAACTTGAATAAAAAGATATTTGACAGAAACCTGAGCTGTTGTCTTGACAGAAGCAGTGTAGCTATGTTATACAAAGCCTGAAGTGTTTATCTTACCTGGGTTTTCCTAGCTGCTTACAAAGGATACACCATCAACATCCCCTGCTGATAGTTCATGCAGGGCTGCCACTGTCTGTAGCCACTGTCTGTAGCCACTGTCTGTAGCCACTGTCTGTAGCCACTGTCTGTAGCCACTGCTGAAGTGCTTCTGAATAAGAGCAACCCAGCCAAGGACATGCCTGCAGCTATAATCAGTACAAGTAGAAGCATTTTGTGGAGAGGATCAGGGGCAGACTGACCATTTGGAAACTCGGGCAGGGTCAGTAGGGGGCCCCATGAGATGCCCCTGGTACCTTTTTCATAGTTTTTTTTGAGTTTGGGCAAGGACACAGGGGCCCCATGATCCCCTATTGCCCGGGGGCCCCAGGAGCTGTCAGTCCGCCCCTGGAGAGGATCCATTCATGACACCACCAGACTAGCTCCGCTCCATTGCCAACGTAAAGGTGACAGAATGCAAGGTGGCAATGATTGTCAAAGAATTTCAACCATTTAGAGGCTACTTATTTAAAAAGGGATCACATTTTTTATATACACTGTGGCTCCAGCTAGTCTGTCCCTTATACTGCATGTATTTTTCTTGATAGCTACAGTTCATCTTTAAGCCCTATATACATGGGGCATCTAGCTGCTGTGCATGCAATCCTGACATTTTAATGCACCCACAAGGCACATCCAGCCCTTTACCTTCAGCTTGTCAAAGTCTAGGGCAGGGTGAAATATGCAACGGCTGGACAGGGCTGACCATGGTACTGAGTAAAACACGTGTTTAGGGCACTATGCATTTAGGGACAAATGGGCAGAATGTAGAATACCTCATTTGGCTCCAAATGCATAGGGCCTAAATGCCAGTATCACTCGGTGTTCAGCCGCAAAATTCTGCAGCATATTTCAGCTTGTCATAGACTTTGACATTTTACAGCATGCGGGACTGTGCGCTGAACCTGTGCATCCTAGGCAAAATAAAATGCCAGTTTTAGACACACAGGGGCTAGACATCCCATGTGCAATCCACCCCTGTGTCTTAAAGAGACTGAGAAAACAGTTTCAGATGTTCTGGTTACCCCGCATCTATCAACTGGCCTCTGTCTTTACATTATTGCAGAATTTAAATATAGGATTTCACCGGATACTATAGATGGAAACATTTCTTCAAAACACATTGTTAATGAAGGAACATTTTTTAAATTATTACAGGTATTTACAGTATATACCGCCAACAATTTACACAGCACTTTACATATATATAGTACATTCACATCAGTCCCTAACCCTCAAGGGGCGTACAATCTAAGGTCCCTAACTCACATTCATACATACACATACTAGGGACAATTTAGACAGGATCCAATTAACCTACCAGAATGTCTTTGGAGTGTGGGAGGAAACCGGAGTACCCAGAGGAAACCCACACAGGCACAGGGAGAACATGCAAACTCCAGGCAGGTTGCGCCATGGTTGGAAATCTAACCAATGACCTTTGTGTTGCCAGGTGGTTTTTGCTGTAACATTCTCACCTTACAGCCAGGTTATGGCAGTGCAGTCGCATGTCACACTCTTCCTCATCTGAATTGTGTTGTGGGCAGATAGGAGCTTGTGATGAGTCCATCTCTTCTGAGCTCTGTGAGTCATTGAGAGGGATGTAGTCCTTTCCTTCCTGTGGGAGGCAGTTAGGAACCATTAGTATACCTTCTACCCAGTACTTACTTTTTCTTTTTGACTGTAAATGTGTTGGTTTGCAAACATGGTTAAAGCTGAACTCCAAGCAAATCGCAAAGTGCACAGCTGAAAAACATAAACTAGCTTAAAGAAACTGATTTGTGGTTCTGTCCAGCCATTCCTGAGATTTACACTGTCAAACTACTGAGTTGACTTTTTTCTGCTGCAGTAAAGCTGAACTAAACTGTATCCGAGCACCATAAAATGAAAAAGCTATTTCATTCATTTTTAATATTCAAAGCAATCTTATCTATCCATGACTCCATTCTTTATTTTGTCGAGAAATCTCTTTGAAAAACACCCGTCTAGCATTTCTAGCTGTGTCTATCTTGAGTAAGGGCAGATGATTCATGTAGCATTTACTTCCTGGAATTAATCTGTCCTTAGCTTAGGCATGCAGGCAGCGCACATGGGTGTGCTTAGCTGAGAAAGCCAATACTCAACCTCAACCAGATGAAAAAATGCCCATGAGGACTCCTGCAATGTACAGTATGACATCATTTTGGCCTAGGCCAGAAACCAGGAAGTAGTTCTGCTTTAGGCAAAACAGTTAGGTCCACACCTTCCTGCCTCCAGCCTGTGACTGGACAGTGACAGTGCAGCAGCAGGCAGATGAGCTAATCCCTCTGCTCACTCTCCTCTCTTTAACTGTCAGCATGTTCCTTGTCAGTACCTATGAATGTATCACACCTGATTGGCCCCACGTTCTCCTCTTCCTCTTAGAGGAGGTACTTATACTAGTTGTATTTAAAAAGCATTTCATTAAATGATTATTTTGTTACTGCAAAGCTGAATTCATTAGTTTTATTGTTTAATATCTACCTATAGTTCAGCTTTATGCTTAAAGTATCATTAAAGCGACCAAGAGCACTATGTATGGGTCACCAGCAAATTCAACAATAAAAACAATGTACTATAGCAAAGTGCAGTATAATGCTTCCAAATAATTTTTTTTCTGCCACATATACTGCAGTCACATGACATTAGGAATTTGCTCCCCACTGTACTGAGAGATGGCGAGGGGGGGGCAGAGCAAGCAGAAAATATCTTAAGAAGCTGCAGATGTAACTGCTTAGGTTACTCCAGAATGTTTGTATTGTGATATGATAGCATTTCCACAGCCAAAAGGGAAGCTCACTGAAATGGCAGAAACAGTCAGATTATTATTATTTCTATTATTATTATAATACAGGATTTATATAGCACCAACAGTTTGCGCAGTGCTTTACAATATTTACTACCTATGCCTAAGTAAAAGATGAAAAACGTCTGTTACATGGTACAGAGAACATGTTTAAAAACATAGACACTTGAAACATTTTTGGGTTTAATGACACTTTAAAGTAAAATAATGGCATAACGTTTATAGTTTTGGATGGAGTGGTGAGGGATTAGAACAACTGTCAGGTATTTATTGCTGTCTGTGTCCCTATTGGTCCTGTTTAACACTGAGAGTGAAAGTGAAAGAAAATGCAAACTTTTAAGTTGTCAGCAGAACAGGAACAGATGGGAAATCTTCCAGTGGAGACACTAGTTCTTTTAATCTTGGTGACAACCAGAGATTCCCTCACTTTGGAAGGATTTCCACTTATTTTCTGTTTTGGCTATGGGACTTGAAGTGAATTAAGTGAAGGGAGATATCCCCAATGGGACACAGATGGCAAATAAAAACAGACAGGGGGCTTAACCCTCCCTTACTCTATCCTTTAGTTCTGCTTTACGTATTGTACAGTAAAAGCATATTCGGATAATAAAGATATATAAATGCAACTCTGCCACAAAAATATCTTGATTAGTTTTATACCAAAGTTGGAAGACTTCCCCTCATATCCTATTCTGGTGACAACTCTAAAATTTAGATTTACCATCTCATTTTATACTTATGACAACAGTCACCAGGACAGGTGGATAGGCTACATTCCCAAGGGGGTCACAGTCAAAAATACAAACCTAACAGAGGTTATAAGCCTTCCCTATTCAGTCCAAATATGGAAAAGGGTGCTATATTTGCAATATGCTATGCTGCCAACAGTAACAAGGGTTACTATTAAAGGGTGTGCCAAAAAGGCCACCAATGCGACATGATGAATACCAAAGGAAAAAAATGTTGAATCGGCAAACATGTTGGTGGCTCCACCAACATTTTGCTATGAGGTCCCGTGATTTGTAGTTATGCCCTTAAATTTAACCTTAACCACTTCCCGTCTGGCCCATGTATATAAATGGCCAGACGGGAGCAGTGCAGGGGCGGGTGGCAGTTTATAAACGTCCTCCCCACTTCCCTGCTTGTGTGCACTCCCTGGGAGCGTGCAGCACTGTGATCAGTACACCGATCGTTGTATGGGACCTTTGTGTGAGGTCCCGATCATGTGATCACTGATTGGCCAAAAAAAGAAATTATTGTTTTATACTGTACTACTTGTGTGCACTCCCTGGGAGCGTGCAGCACTGTGATCAGTACACCGATCGTTGTATGGGACCTCTGTGTGAGGTCCCGATCATGTGATCACTGATTGGCCAAAAAAAGAAATTATTGTTTTATACTGTACTACTAGGGGGACAGTATGTTAAAAAAACATAAATAATATAAAAAAAAAAATAAAAATGTAACAAAACATTTTGAAAAATTATAGTTTTTGGTTATAAACTAATTTTGGTTTTTTTTCTACTAAAAAGATAACTGAATAACTTTTGGCTAAGATTTATGAAGAAAGACTAATTTGCAAAATTTTGCTAAATTTTTGGACTTTTATTTATATAGCAAAAAATAAATATAAAACAAAAATCCCAGTGGTGAATATATACCATCAAAATAAAGTTTTATCTATATCAAAAAAATGCTAACAAATTCATATGGGTACAGTGTTGCATGACCGCGCAATTGTCATTCAAAGTGTGATAGCACGGAAAGCTGAAAATTGCCCTGGACAGGAAGGGGGTAAAAGTGTCCGGACTTGAAGTGGCTAAAGTGGAATGTAGCAGAGACAGAGAAGTAGTAGTTTAAACATACCTGCTGGACATTCTCTTGCAGCAGGTCACCCAGGATTTCCACTAAGTCAGTAAATGTTGGCCTTTCCTTAGGATCCCCATGCCAGCAACTCAACATGATACGATAACTGTATGAAACACAAATGCAGATATTTACATAAAAACATCTTGTAAAGACTCCTATTTCAACATATGGGATACTCGGGATGCAATGTTTCCATAACAGCCAATATCAGCATATGTGCAGTGGTATTCATCAAGCAAACTAATGGAAATATGAGTAAAGAATATTTATTTCAGAAATTTAAATTCTAAGAGAACTAGTCTTGTAGCAGTCATGTCATTTACCTGAAACCGTGTGACACTGCTTAATATAGTAGTACTGTATACTGTGTCCTGGTACACAGAGTCATGTGCAGGTGCGTATTAAAAGTAAAGGGACCTTTTCACACAACATACCTTATGAATTATAGAATAAATTGATATTATTTCTTAACAAGTTAAGTTCTTACACCTCAGTACACCTTATGGATCAAAGCGATATTTACATTTCAGCTATGGGCCTAAAGTAGCGCTGGTTATGTGCCCTGTATCTCCTGCAGTTTCCTCTGAGATACAGTAGTCTTTGGTCCTTACTTCATTTCAGAAGGTCTTCAGAGTCGAGCATGACCAGAATATATGATATCATATAGAGTACCTTGCTCCAAGTTGCAGCAACACCATAGGTCTGGGACAGTAGGATATAGGTTATGTAGAACATATGGGGCCCTGTACCACATGGTTAGGATTTCAAAATTGGTCTGCAGCAGATAAGTACAGATTGAGGTTTTCAGTGAGAGATCTAAAATCCTTTGACACTGTTGCATAAAGGAGCCACCTAAATCACAATCCCAAGGGGTCAGGTATGAAGCTTTGTAGTCTTCTGTCGGTAACACAAGTTGGGTGTATTGTATGACTAAAGAATCAAATAAATGAAAATAAAAGAGTGAAATTATCTACTCCTCCCATTTTTTCAAGCAGCACTGTGTTAATAAATAATCATCACCATATGCTCTGCTTGAAAGATTGGGAGGAGTAGATAATTGCACTCTTTTAATTTTCATTTATTTGGTTCATGATTTATTCTTTAAGGCAGCAGCACTGATTTTGTCAGTTGTGTATTTCCTAAGCACAGGGTGAAGTGGGATTAGTTTATTTTGAACTCTGGGAATTTATTGTATTATGGCTAAAAAATGTCTGGGTTGGTCTGTACAGATACAAAGCTGTTCAAAGGGGCTCACTGGTCTGGTAAAAAGTGTCAGAGAGGGTAGAGGGAAGAGCAAATATTTAAATTGGGGCACTTTCTAAAGGTCTAGGCTGTAGGAGTCATTGATTTTTCGTGAGATCTTCTATAGTAGATCAAAGGTCGTAAAGTGTGAGGTGCTGACTTTCTTTTCAGAAATAAGGAGATGGATCGGGTCAGAAAGGAAGCTGAGGGTAAATCTTGGGTTGCCAATAATCAATAAAGAGAAGATCCAATTGGGAAGATAGCCTATTTCGCAAAGGCCTTAAAACAGGTGCCAATGGATGTTCCAATGGTAGGATGTGAATGCTCCAATGGTAGGATGCAATTTTATGGGCATGGCGAGGCTGCCATGAGTACATGGGTATGGAGAGGGGATATTTAGGAGCGAGAAGAGAATTTGTGCTCTGGGAGGGGTAATTTTGGGGTAAAGAGAATCTGGGCATGGGAGGGCATTTTTTCTTTGGGGGGGAGGGGAATGGAGGATTTTTGAGGGGAGAATGTTTGCGCTGGGAGGGTGATCTGTATTGAGAGGAGTGATTTGGCAGGAGAAGAGGAGGGGGGCATTTTTTCTTTAGGGGGGATTTGAACTGGAATGCGGAATAAAATGGAGATGATTTATGCAGGGAGGTTGATTTGGGAAGGAATGATTTGTGCTGGGAGGGTCTTTTTGGGGAGAGAGAAGATTTGTGCTGGGAGGGAAGATTTGGGGGGAAGAAGGAGGAAGATGATTTGTGCTGGGAGTGGGGATTTCAGCAGAGAGGGACATTTATACTGCAAGAAGGGGGGAATTTTGCATTTTTGTTTAGGGATATTTTTGGTTTGCAGAGGGAATTTGTACTTGGGGGGGAAAGTACATATCAGTGTGGTTTTTTTTTGGGGGGGGGAGGGTAAAGTAGGGTGGGGGAATATTGCTTGCAGGGTGAATTTTGCACTCTCTTGACACCTACAGTACAATCTGTGTGTTTCACAACCTTGACTCCTCATTTTGTACTCCTAGCCCCTGCATTCTGTGCATTTTATACTCCTGGCCCTTGCACTTCTTCACTCTGTTTTACATTGATTACCTCTGACCAAAGTGTTTATTATATCAACAGTTGGTAGTTGGTAAGCAATCCCTGACTATTTCAATAAAGTTCTTTTTTAAGGCAGGCTCAGATGACGTGTTAGCTCTGTTTATTTTCAGTGTGCACAAAAGCATTTGTAATGGAAAAGTTTCTTAATTTAAAATGAGACAATTCTAAGACTGATCTTTGTGAGCTGCTATGTTCAAAGCCAAAAGTACCAATAAAATCTACCCTGTGAGCATTGAATAATTAAATAACTCACTATGCACCAAATGCAAATCCCATAGAATTCAGCATTACTGTATAATAGAAAAAAAACAAAAGACTACTCTGCAGTGCTATTGAGTGCAAACATAATTCAATAAAACTTTTAAAATACAGTGCAAGTAATAATAATATATAATATAACATCAACTCCTTTTCAAAACATCATGCTGTGCTTTATGCAACCATCCATGCTTAATCCAGCAGTAATAAGTGACCACTTCACCACCAGCTGTTTGCTGGTGGCATAAAGCACAGCATGATGTTTTGAAAGGACTTGATGTTATATTATACTTTACTATTATTTTTCACTATATTTTAAAGGTTTTATTGGATTAAGTTTGCACTTAATAGTGCTTCACAGTGGTCTTTTGTTTTTTTTTTATTTTAAAATGATTGTCCCAAGGTTTATACATGTTTGTTAGACTTTCATTTTTGGCATAAAAATCAAAGCTCAGTTTATGGATTCAAGTAGTATATATTTAACTGTATCCCTTTAAGCCCTTCCCACTGTTAATGCAATTTGGCAACACCCACTCTTTGCAGTGGCACACTAGATGTACTGCATTATTAATCTCTTTAGGGTGCCAAAAGGTACCCCAGATCATTTACAGTCCTAGAAACACCCCTGATTTGACAAGTACTTTTTCACACAATGTGCAACAAGATGAAAAAAAAGTAGTTCCTGCCTATAAAAAGTATACATAGTTAGGTGTCCTCTTTTCATGCAGCGGTAAATTACCGCTGCTCAGTTCTCCGGCATTCTCGGCCTTTTATGAAGCGGTGTAGATCAGTTCTCTGAACGCAGGGAGAGCGAACTACAAATGCTGGAAAACAGCTGCTTAAGAGATCAGTCAAACACCGTTTACTAAGCAGAGGTAAATTGTCGCTGCTTCGGTTCCTCCGATTCTCCAGCTTGGGCTGGGGAATCTTCAGGGAGAACACAGATCGCCAGTGAAGGGCTGACTTCGCTCCTTCATATACTGGCCATCTGTGTACTGAGATGATCAGCAGAGAACATGTTCTCCACTTATCATCTCTGTTTCCTAAACCACAAATGATCGGAGATCAGCAACGATCCTCAGGATCGCCACTGATCTCTGTTTCATAAAAGGACACCTTAGTGTTCTATAATTTTCCCTGTTTATACAGACATAAACAATGTGTTCCTATTACTAGGCATAGCAAAATTGTATAAAAAATACATGAATGGTTTTTTTTAATTGTGCTTTTCTGAAATGTGTCCCTAACAAAATTGATTAAAAGGGAATAAAAAAAAAGATTAATAGTGGTAAAAAATAAAATAAAAATATCAAGTGATCGAAAAGTACAGTTAAGGAGAGAATGGGAGTACGAGGTTAAAAAGGCGGAGGAACAGGGGCTGGGTACACTACACAGATCCATGGTATTTAGATTACGTTTTCTTGAGCATGTGTAGCATGCCTAATATCCATAAATGGGGAAATATGGGGCCAATTAGAATTAATTTTGCTTAAGACAGAACAGTTCAAGATCAAGTCCAGCAGTTGCAATAGGTTACTTAAAGCCCATCTCTGAGCAAAATGAATTTGGAATGACCTTTAACCTTTCTTTAGCAATATTTTACACTGCACACTGGGACTTGTAGTTCCATTCCTGCTACAAAATATCGCAGGACTGGCTTGTTTATAAAGATCCTGGCTTCTCTGCTCAGTCTAATATCAAACATCAGGGTCTCTTTATGGTCAAAGGAAAAACAGAATTTATTTCTCTTTCCAGATGTAGATTTTTCCCAGGAAATGAGTCCTGGCTAGCACTATGAAAAGTGTCTACCGGGGATGTCTATCTCAAAAGCGTCCTGTGTGATAAGGAACCTCCCAGCACAGATTATTATAAAGCAGCAGGGTTGGCATGACAACAACTTATTTTAACCCGATTCCTGGTCACCCAGGGGGTTCTTTGAATACTGGCCAGGAACACTACAAATACTTCTGTGGCATGTTTTGTAGCTGTCAATTGTCTCAAACGTTGCCAACTAAAAACAAATTTGATTGTTATCAAAAAGAAAATATTTCTGACCAGCGGCAAAAAGATATGAGAGTAGAAACTGCCTTTTTAAATTAATTTTTGTTTTACTGGAAAGAGCGTCACCCAGTCATCGTGGAAAGAGCTTTAAGGGTCCATTCACACTTGTGCGTTGTGGCACAAAAAAAATTAAACCTCCCTCACCCACACATAGGAACATAAATGTATGTGTCGAGGATTCCTATGTGTGTAAATATTGATTGCGCTATGCATGTTATATATTGCATCGCACACCAGAGTGCAAACAAGAATTCTAGAACCATTATTCATAGTTTACTCTAAATTAATGACCTGTAAGCGTTTTGAAAGTGTCTCCTATTGCAAATTTTGGTTACCGATGTTTGTCACCGTATTACAGATGCTTGCAATTTTATGGGTTGATGTGTTTGGTATCTATTTCATCGATGCAACTTCATCTTTTACATTGTGCTAAGCAACTACAACAATTTTATTCTCCAGGGTCTCTGGTTTTAGAAAATGTATAATGTATGTGAGTTTTAAAGTGATAACATGCTATACGTACCTGCTCTGTGTAGTGATTTTGCACAGAGCAGCCCTAGTCCCCTTGTCTCAGGTCTCCTGCCAGCATTCCTGACCCCTTCCTCCTGCCTAGGGCCCCCATGTCAAGCACCTCTCTATGGAGGCACCTGAGCAAACTCGCTCCTGACCTGCTGCTCTGTGTGTCCATTCACACATGGAGCACAGCTTGGCCCTGCCGACCGCTCTCTACTCATTGGCTCACTGGCTACGATTTACAATGGCTACCACTGCTGTCTCACCCAATGAGGAGGGAGAGACCCGGGAGAGCCAAACTCTTGTGCACATTGCTGGATTGAGAAGGGCCCTGGCCCTGGCCATGTGGGATCTCCTGCATGGTAGGGGTTGGGGAAAGACCTGGCAACCTACCCTGCAAAAATAATTGCTAAGAGAATTCATGGAAAAAATTCGCTTACGAGTGATGGTCCATGCAATCGCCAAGGGTCGGACACGACTGAATATATATATATATGCCACTGCTGTCTCACCCAATGAGGAGGGAGAGACCCGGGAGAGCCAAGCCTCTCGTGCACATCGCTGGATTGAGATGGGTCTCAGGTAAGTTTTCGGGGGTGGGGGGGGGGGTGCTGCACACAGAAGGTAAAAAACCTTGAGCCTTTGCAACCACTTTAACTAATCTTCAGGTCTAAAATGTGCATTTTACCATATGTACAGAAAAAAAAACCCCACAGATCTGGAAATGAAAGTGTGAAATGATAACTAAAGCCCGGAACAAAAATGTATATAGTTGTATTGCAACTTACCAGATGTACTGGTGGCTGCAGTAATTTTCTTTTCTTAGGCTTTTGTTCCTTTATTTTCACCTGGAGATCCTGTCAGCAATACATTTCCAGTTCTACAATGGCTATGCATACTCCTCCACCGTATCTGTGGAGGAAGCTGCGGTTGTCACCTAGACTGGACTACAAACCTGTCTGCCACTTTTCACCTCCATTACATAGGAGATGAGTTTGAGATTAGTGATTTACAGAAGAAAGATTCGGTTTGTTTTCTGTTCAGCTTAAAGGAAGCAACCAGTACACTGCATTTCTGGTAAAATCAGGAGGTATTTTTTGTATTTGATGTTCTGAAAATGCTTGAGAAAAAAGCTTAATGCAGCCACCACTTAATGCAGTCCTTCAGCACTTGGGTGCCCCAAAACTCAGGGTGCTATAATGATCAAGTTTAACACTTCCCCATAGCACTCAGCATTGGCCAACCCTTCCCACTTCTTATACGTTCCTACTGGACGGTCACTATGATAGGTAGCCCTTACTGACCAGTAGAAACATGTAGGTGGCAGGAAGGGGCAAAGCAGTGCCTGATATTACCAGAAAGCTTCAAACCTGCCTGTTACATTACATATACAGTATGTACAAATTGAAATGCCTGTCCATGCAGATATGGTATTTCAGCATTACATAGATGCACGTAGGGTGAATCGCTAAGCTTGTTACAATAAAAATACCAGTGCCATTATTAGTTTGTTTGTCATCCTAATGCCTTAAGCTGCCAGGAGTATGTGTAACAATATTTCCCTTTGAGTATCAACACATACATGTCCGTTGTGGCGTATTCTGGTGCCCGCATGCGCGTTCCATCCTTCAGTCTTTGGCAGAACTCCTCATTGATTTGTACACCGGGATAAGGGGATGCACCTGGAAGCATAGCATGAAAACATTACCTTTTGTGTGCTGTGCACTGTTCAGCTATCTTAGCTTTCAGCTGCTTTTGAAAATTCAACACTTGATATAAAACAGTTTTCATTGCTTACTTACCAAGTGAGAATATTTCCCAGAGAAGCACTCCAAAAGACCAGACGTCACTCTGTGTCGTGTAAACCTTATCAAAAATACTTTCCGGCGCCATCCACTTCAGAGGTAAACGTGCCTGGGAGGTATTGTAATGAAATTAGCATGTATTAAAGTTGGCCTCATGGAGTATCAAATTTAAGTTTAAAATTTTTGCTGTCATTTATGATTTTACGCATAATTATAAACTCCTAATACTGTCATTACAATTCAAAATTACAGTCTTTCTATTAGAAAGAATATATAACCTTTTTTAAAGTGCATGAGGAACTAAATTAATATCTTAAAACTGAACTCCAGGCAGATATAGGAGATACACATGAATGCAGCTCTGTAAATACATAATTAAATATATATATATATTAATGCAAGCAATGTAGGCATCTAAATGTGGCTTTGTATCAGCCTTCAGCAGAGATAAGGGAAGAAGTTGGAGAAATAGAACAAAGAGTCAATTATGTGCGTTTCAGTGAGCATGCTGATTAGAGGAAAGAGCAAAGATGGGGTAGAGAAGAGACCTGTGATTGAAAGTAAAACAGCAGCAGATAAAGATTGGGTCTATTCCCCTGCTAGATGGTGCTCTGCTGTGTGGCAATGTTTAAATCCCAGGACCTCATGGACAAAAAAATAAAAATCCCTTGACAGTTATAAAGCTCTCACATGCATTTCCTTTATGTATTTAGCTATTTGCAGTTGAGCTGTAAAGCAAAATTGTAGTGGGAAAAATATGTAGGCAACCATTGTTGTCCTTCCTTCCTAATGTCCAAACATTGCAATGTATTTCAGTTTGTATCTCAAAAAGTGACCCTCGCCGATACTCCTACTATCCCATCTAAGTTGTCCTTTTATCATGCAGCGGTAAATGACCGCTGCTCAGTTCTCCGGCATTCTTGGAGAAGACAGTTCTCCTCTGAATGCCTTTTTATGAAGCGGTGTAGATCACTTCTCTGAATGAAGGGAGAAGCGATCTACAAACGCTTTCAACGCTGGAAAACGGCTACTTTTACTATAATCTTGCGAGATTACAGTAAGAGATCAGTCAAACACCGTTTACTAAGCTGTGGTAAATTAGCGCTATTTCGTTTGCGGTTCCTCTGATTCTCCAGCTCTGAGCTGGAGAATGTGGAGGGAGAACACAGATCGCCAATGAAGGGCTGACATCGCTCATATACTGGCCATCTGTGTGCTGAGATGATCAGCGGAGAACATGTTCTCCGCTGATCATCTCTGTTTCCTAAACCACTAATGATCTGAGATCAGCAATGATCCTCAGGATCGCCGCTGACCTCTGTTTCATAAAAGGACACCTAATAGTACTGATTCATAAGGACTGTTGAAAGCTCTTTATCGCCTGGATACAATGTCAACATTCTCCTTACTGGGTTGTCTGGAGCTATTTGTTTCCATTCCAAGGTCAACCAATAGATTGCTTGACGGTTGTGCTATGAAAGAAGGAGACAAAAAGTCCTGCCTATAGCCTATACGTACATGTACTGTAGATAGGAAAGCAATAGGAATGCAAAAAGGGAATATTTTTTATCCATTTAGAGCAGCCATTCTCAAAAAGGGTTCCTCCAGAAAATGCTGTAGGGTCCTTTAGCTGTGGCTGACTGACCTCCTATCTGATGAAGCATGCATAGTCCTGGGACCAAAACCACTTGGCAAAAGCAGCTGCATGACCCCAATGATCTTTTTTAGCTGTCTGTGTGGCATTTGACCACCATTGAAATGGGGGCATTTTTCCTAATGACCTCCAATGAATAAGATTTAGCAAAGGTTGCTTAACATCTGAAAAATATTTCCAGAGTTTCTGTTGAGTAAAAAAATTGAGAAAGGCAGATTTCTTTACTTTCTGACATTCCCTCTGCAAAAGATATTAATAAGCTGTCATAGTTACTTAAGCTCTTTGTAGCCTGCAGGAGATACTATATACACTACACTGCTTTGCTAGCTAATTCTTCATCTATCTACTTCTGTGCCCAACAGCATCTCATTTAAGCAAATCATGTAATAGCAGATTGGTCTCAGATGTCATGCCTAAAGTAGAACTAATGGTAAAACTTAGTTTTTTTTATCAATAGAGAACAAGGGGATATTACCTCTGTTAGTTTTTAGGACATCTGTGTTCCATTGGGGGAGATTTCCCTTTACTTTCTGTTCCATAGCCAAAAGATAAAGTGGGAGAAAATCCCTCCAAAGTGAAGGAATCCCTGGTTGTCACCAAGGTCACCAAAACTAGTGTCCCCATTGGAAGATTTTCCCTCTATTACTGTTCTGGAGAAAACCCCAAATTTTGGATTTTCCTAAACATTCATTTTCATTGATGATTGTCAATTGGATAAATAGAGAGGGGGCAGAGACAAAAAAAACTGACAGGGCTCTAAATCCTCTCCGCTCTGTCCAAAACTATACAAAAATGCCATTAGTAATGCATTAAAGTTGAAGTCTAGGAACAGCAACTTTTAAAACGTTACATTGGTCCAGTTTGGACCAATGTAAGCATGTACATGCCCTATATATATGAGGAACATGTGGAATCTGGAAAGCACTGTAGTAGGTATCAGTACTACAGTGGTCTTAACTAGATTCTGGGTCTCGTGCTAAGTGGCCAAAGATATACAAGTGGCCAAACCTCTGCAATGCAGAAATGTTATTTATTAATATGGACCTGCATATAGTAAAGCATACTTTCAATAGTAATTTTTATATACAGTATTTAGATTACTAAAAAGTAGCACTCTTATGATAATGAACTGCTGATATTATTAGTTTATAGAAGAAAGGGTGCATGATAACTAAAATCCATTCCATGTATAAATAATGCTAGGCATCAGGAACATAAGGTTTATTTCATCACTCAATCAATTTGAATACGAATGGGATAATTCTAAAGGGTATTACTAACCTTGTCATTAAATATAAAATGAATCAATCATGATGTTCCTGATATATAATTGTTGTATTTTTGGATCCTCCACCCTCCCAGCAGTTCCAGGTTATTGTTTATATGACTAGAAAAAAAATGCTTAATGACCCCTAATTGTGATGCCAGTTAGATAAAATACTGCTTGAATATATTAGAGCATTTTGATTAATGATCCTTATAGATAGCTTTTTGCTGAGAACAGTATTTGGCTTGTAATACAACACATACCATATACATCTGTAACATATTCCTTCTGTGCCCTGGGAACTTTGCTAAAGTTCACAAGAAAGAACTTTGAGATTGGACATCTGTGAGCCAACTATGACATCCAGTACTGATCTTTTTCTACAATCAAGTCATTAGAAGTAATCAGGAACCTGACTTCTTTCATCTTGCAATAGATTTATTACTGCAGCTTTCACCAGCTTATACAGAATCAACCAAGGCCTGAAATGACCGAGGCTGCACGTATAAGTGGTTGGAGGTGGTCGTAAATACTGTTAACATTTCCTAAAGTAGATCTGCATAGTCTACATAGGTTGAAATACTTGCCACATAATGCCCTGGAGAAAATGTTGCTCCAGGCTCACTTAAATATCTTTCCCATGTACAGTATATATGTCTAGGCTTGTGCATATGATCTTTGCTGAAGAGAAGTGTGAGGTTCCAGTATGGCTTATCCTTCCCTTCTCCATCCCCTGAACAAGTGCTTAGGCCTTCAGTCCTGTGGCCAACACTGCAGGGAGCTTAGAGCAGCATTTTCCCCAGGAAAGGTAAGCAATTCATCTCTTTTCCCTACTTCTACTGTTCTGGATTTCCCATCACTTTCTATCCTACATACAATGGGCATCAGGACACAGAGAGTGAATCTCCCTGTTGGGGACACAGATAGCAACAAACACCTGAAAGAGGTTTAACCTCACACCATTCTATCCAGAAGTGGCATAAAAAGGCTGTAGATACATGTTAGGGGTTATATTTATAAAACAGCGAATGTGACATTCACCAAACTCTCACTGTAAGTTCATCTTCTTGGTGCATGTGTTTTAAAGGCCAACTTTGCAAGATAAAAAAATAAATGTGTCCAAGAAATGTGCATTTTTGCATAAGAGCCTGGAAAGGATTGCAACTGTGATCAGAGGATTGACTCTTTCTGCAGTTGCTAGTCCATACCGAGGTACAAACCTTCAGTTATAGGGCTGGAGGAAATGTCAATGGAATACAAGTCTGGTGATGTCACCACACCTGTGCTATACTGAGAACAAGAAATCCCCCCGCATATGGGACTCATTTTCTATTTACAGATTCCTGTAAATGAATGAGGAGATTCTGCAGGTGGAGCCACGCACAGCTGCATGGATTTTAAATTTGGCAGGAACTGGCAGGGAGAAGCATTCTGTAAGAAGGGGCCATGGTTGGGGGTGGGAGGCTACAATCTGTGACCATGCTTCACATTGCACTTCAAATATGTCATATTAGATTTGGATTTTTAATACACAAGAACCTGCATTAATGCTCTTGTACAAACAGATGTTGCAGTTTACACAGCAGGATGCAGCTTTTTTATGCTGTCACTCACTCTAATGAAGTCATTTGCATCATGTAAGTGCTTTTCACTGAAAGGAAGTGGACAGGCAGCCTGGGCTCCTTTCAGCTTCATTTGCATAACATAATATAAATGACCAAAGGCTATGTTTGGCACTTATATAAATAGAAAAGAACATGATGTAAGCTAACATTCCTCCTTAAATTAAACCTATGTAGGGGGGATATGGAGGCTGCCATTGCTGACCCCTTTCAGGCAGTGATAGTTGTCTAGGTCTCATATGGTTGATCATATTACTTTAATCTATTAAAATAAACCTGTCACAAACCCAGGCAATTCCAACGGAGCAAAATATGCAGAAGCAGAGGTTACCTTAAGTGAAAATTAAAATGATCAATAGATGCAGAGATATCAGCAGCTGAAGTTTTGTGTTAATCTTTATTAATTTTGTCCTAGAAAACATGGGTTTGGTCTTTGTTCCCAAGCCATCCTATTGCTCACACTAGTTATGCTGTTTCAATTGCCAGCACAAAGTATTAGCAAATTTAGGAGCAAACTATGCTTATTATTTATAGGAAAATGCATGTAACTTCAGTTGTCTATTTTTTTATATGCTTTCAGTCAGACCTACCCAGGTTTATGAGAGTTTAAATGAAAGTGAACCTTACTTCATCGCAGGGGCGGACTGACCATTTGGAAACTCGGGCACTGCCCGAGGGCCCTATGAGATGCCCCTGGTACCGTTTTCATAGGCTTTTTTGAGTTTGGGCAAGGACACAGGGCCCCATGATCCCCTATTGCCGGGGGCCCCATGAGTTGTCAGTCCGCCCCTGCTTCAGAGAAACCTTGGGCTGTCATTGCTGAGCTCCTTCTGAAGATGCTAGTTGCCTTGCTATTACATTTATCCTCAATCCCGACTACTTTCTGGGTTGCTGATCTGGAACTAGTTTGAAATCCATGGAAGTAAAGTCTGAAGTCCTTATCTGCATACTTGTTCCATACCAGTGACAAAGTATTTAAGTAAGAAAGTCCACTAAATGCAACATGTAAAATTTATGTTTGCTTTTATGTACATGCAGCACCCTCTACTGTGCTACTAGAATAGTGTAGTGTATTGCAGGTAAAATCATTGTGTATGACTCATGGTAGCTGTGTGAGTCTGTGATTGAGGTTGGATTATTGCACGTCAGCTGAATTACTTAACAGGTTGTGGTTCTATTGCCTCCTCCTGACTATGGAGGACCATAGAACCTTCCAGAAGTCAGTAAGTAGGATGGGGTGGAGACCTAATCTGCATGTTTATGGGAGTCTGGCCAATCCCAGGTTTGGAGGCCCTGGCAGAGTGGTGAACTGGCCCATAAATATTTCCAGAATAAGAAAAAACAATAGCAGCTTCCATGTTTCCCTAAGTAAAGGCTTTAATATGGTTCTAAAACCTAAAGGTTGTTTACCTTAATGCATTCTATGCATTAAGGTAAAAAAACCTTCTGTACTGCAGGATCTCCCGTTACCTCCCTTATACTTGCCTGAGCCCGATCTCAATCCAGCTCTATGCAGGAAAGCAGCAGTTCTCTCTGATCTCTTCAACACAGGGCAGATTAACAGCAAGAAGACCCATTGGCTCCCACTGCTGTCAATCAAATCCCACACAAGTGCCCCCATAGAAAGCAGCTTTCTATGGGGGCACTTGGCAAAGAGGAGGAGCCAGGAACGCTGGAGGGGGGACCCTAGAAGAAGATTGGAACTGCACTGTGCAAAACCATTGCACAGAGCAGGTATGACATGTTTGTTATTTTATTTAAAAAAAATGACTTGCAATAAGTATGCAGTAAGGCCTCATGCACACTGAGTGTTTACTCAGCTCTTCTGAACGCCTTTTCTCCTGACAGGAGAAAAGCAGCATAAAAAATGCCCCTAGAGCTGCTTTTTGCAAATGTGTTTAAGCACTTCAAGCATTTGGGTGTTAATTCATTCCAATGGGCAGAATATGGATGCACCTAGTGTTTAGGTGCATTTACCGTACGTAGACATGTTTAGGTGTATCATTTTTTTTTTTTCACCCTCTAAACACTCTTACCTTAAACATTTGTAAATGCCTGTGTGTGTAAGGGCACAGGTTAACTTAGAGAGGTATTTAGATGCAGAAAAAATAATGTCAAACGCCCTTAAAAGGAGTGTTTTTGATGTCCAGTGAGGCCTAAGTCACCTCAGAGTAATATCTTTAAACACATAGATTACATTTCTGGAAAGTGACAAAAAAATGGCTGAAGTGAGGGGTTGTGCATGAAAGCCAGGCAAATTGTCTTTTTGGAGAGGTCGGTAAACCCTGGTTCACATATGTGCAGTCATGAATGGACTCCCGTGCCTTGTGACACGCATGGAAGAAGTACCTGAACTTCTTCTGAAAACGCAGCCTGAACGGGAACCTCGGTTCCCAGTACGGTTGCATTTTCTGGTGTGGGCGGCGTGCCATTGGAACTAATGGCACCCGTCCGCGGGTCTGCATTCCTCTGTGCGGGTGGTGCGGCTGCACAGATTTTTGTGCGGATCCGCAGCGGCACCACCCGCACATATGTGAACCAAACCTAAGAGTAGCCCCCGATTTCACTTAACATAATTTTCTTTAACTTCCATAAATAAACATTTTTGTTTGACTGAGTAAGCTGTTAGCAATTCTTCCCTTGTGTTGTACATATTTAGCAAAACTTTTACTTGAAACACTTACACTTCCTTTCCTGACGTAATCAGGATCTTTATAAATATCTCTGGCCAGACCAAAGTCACAGATTTTTACAACATTATTTTCAGATAACAGTATGTTTCTGGCAGCTAAATCTCTGTGGATGCACTGCAAGAAAAAAAGGAAAGAAAAGAAAGCTTACCTTAATTAAATGAATTATACATTTATATAGTGCCAACAATTTATGCAGTGGTTTACCTTTGCATCAGTCCTCAAGGAGCTTACAATCTAAGGTCTCTATCTCACATGCATACACATACTACCGGTAGGTTCAATTTAACAAATAATAAGAAATTGAAGTACATGTAAATCTGCACAACCACATGGAGAACATGTAAATAGTGTCCTACCTGGGATTCAAACCAGGTACCCCAGTGCTGTGAGGAAAAAGTGCTAACCACTAAGAGATCTTCTTTACTTATTGCAAAGATTTTAATTGTGATATGTGAAACCTTTAAGATGTTCTTCACAGCTGATTTGTTCATTCTGAAAACAGTTTTCAAGGGCTGATTATTTCTACTGGCCTTGAAGCAAACTGGTAAAGGAGTCTCCCACTAGCCTTGTCAGTCAATGTTTGCAGTTCATATTAGAACCAAGGCCTCTTACCTACACTCACTGACTAGTGTGCAGCAATAAGTCTGCTTACAATTAAGTGATGGCATGGCATATATTGTACTGAACCATTATACTGCACCACAGTAAGTCCTTATTTGCTCATTATTATTTATTGCTATTTTTTAAAAACAATGTGTTTGAATGGTAAACTAGCTGTTTATCCCAACCAGTTTTAGTGTTTTATGGTTGACTACAATTATTTGCAAGTACCTGGAGAAATATATTAATACATCACAACAAACAACATGCTGTATTGTTAATATTCACAATCTTATATTATTATTATTGTTATTATTATTAACCACTAGGGGACCGCTTGCAGTACATTTACTGCTACAAGGCGGCCCCTGTGCACAGGATCATGTATAGAAACGTGATTCCTTCACTGCCCTTTCTCCAGTGTCATTAGTACAGTGTACAGATTTTTTGCTGATCACTGTATTAGTGTCACCAGCGACTTCAGATAGGATTAGCGTCAGTTAGCGCCCCTCCCATATAGCTTCAGATTGCCTGCTAGTACACCAGTAATCACATTTAAATTTGATTGCCAGGAACACACTCACTTACACAATAAACCTCCATTGCTAGTATAGTGTCTGAACGGATCAATATCTTTGATCAGATCAGAACTATACCAGCATTCACATTAGTATAGCGTCCCCCAAAATGCAGCATTAGCGAGATCAGCCCCGGCACCTGCCAGCACCTGCGTTTAGCCCCTGCGTTTACCCCCCCTTTTCCCCCAGCAAGTGCAGTGTCAGTAGATCACAGTCACTTGGTACATTGTAAACAAAACCGCAGTGTTCACAGAATCAGGCCTGATCTCTGTTAGCACTTGTCGTTAAATTTTTTGTAGCAGTTCAAGCAGTCCCTGACAGCCAGGCGCTCTTTTTCCTGTGAGTCGCACTAGGTACCTATAAATTTAGTGGCCAAAATGTCCAAGCAAAAGTACACTAGTGAAGACGCCTACAGCATTCTCAGTCAGGTGAGAGCGAACGGGAACATTCAATAACAGAATCAGGCTCAGAATGCAAACCTGTAGACAGCAGCGGCACCCTGACAGTTAGCTCAGACAACAGAGAAGAGGTCCCTGCTAAGATCAGGCGTACCCAATCCCATTTCCAGGTTGGTGAGATGTTACAAACGCATGATGACGCTCATATGCAGCTGTGTGCTAGTACTAGTGCCGCTCTACCTTTTGGTGAACTGGCGAGCACCAGCGGACTAGTACATCCTGGTCTTTTTCATACCAGCACTTCAGTATCACTTGGTAATGTGGCGAGTCCCATAAGTGCAGCACAAGCCAGTGCGGTGGTGAGCACAAGTATTGTCCCACAGCCACCAAGAATTCGCACACAGGCCCATAGAGCCCATAGTGTCTTTCCGAATGTGCTTGCAAATCCCGATTGGCAGCCCACAAATTCTGCAGAAACCGTACTTCCCATATTCACTGCCCAACCCGGAATTCAGGTGGAAACAGCACATTTAAATACTCCCCTTGATTTTTTGGAGCTGTTTTTCACAGAAGATCTGTGTGCATTGATTGTGGATCACAGCAATTTATATGTACAACCCAAATTCACACACATGGAAGCATATTACGGTTTCTGAATTTAAAGTTTTTTTGGGCCTAACCCTCAACATTGGCATTACTAAAAAAAAGTTAATTGCGGTTGTATTGGTCCACAGACCTAATTCATCTTATGCCCATGTTCTCTGCTGCCATGGCCAGGCATAGATATGAGAATATAATTAGAGATGAGCGAATTATTCAAAAATTCGATTCGGCTGATTCGCCGAATTTGCGGGAGAAATTCGATTCGATGCAAATTTAATCGCTGCGAATTTAACTTATTAAAAGGGTTTCTAGGCTTCAGAGAGCCTTTATATTAGTGCAGAACATTGTACCTTTAATTTAAATGCCCTTGGAGTCTGCTGGGGAAGAGAAATAATACTGTCAGTCAGTATGACATGCAGATGAGTGCCGTCGATCTTAGAATCACCGCACACTTCACTCATTTGGGCAGTCACGGGGCACGACGAAGAAGAAGAAGAAGAAGAAGAAGAAGAATGAAAAGAAGAATGAAAAGAAGAAGAAGAATGAAAAGAAGAATGAAAAGAAGAAGAAGAAGAATGAAAAGAAGAAGAAGAATGAAAAGAAGAAGAAGAGGAATGAAAAGAAGAAGAAGAAGAATGAAAAGAAGAATGAGAAGAAGAATGAAAAGAAGAATGAAAAGAAGAATGAGAAGAATGAAAAGAAGAATGAAAAGAAGAAGAAGAAGAATGAAAAGAAGAATGAGAAGAAGAATGAAAAGAAGAATGAAAAGAAGAATGAGAAGAATGAAAAGAAGAATGAGAAGAATGAAAAGAAGAATGAAAAGAAGAAGAAGAAGAATGAAAAGAAGAAGAAGAAGAAGAATGAAAAGAAGAATGAAAAGAAGAAGAAGAATGAAAAGAAGAAGAAGAATGAAAAGAAGAAGAAGAAGAATGAAAAGAAGAATGAGAAGAAGAATGAAAGGAAGAATGAAAAGAAAAATGAGAAGAATGAAAAGAAGAATGAAAAGAAGAAGAAGAAGAATGAAAAGAAGAATGAAAAGAAGAAGAAGAAGAATGAAAAGAAGAAGAATGAAAAGAAGAATGAAAAGAAGAAGAAGAAGAATGAAAAGAAGAAGAAGAAGAATGAAAAGAAGAAGAATGAAAAGAAGAATGAAAAGAAGAAGAATGAAAAGAAGAAGAAGAAGAATGAAAAGAAGAAGAAGAAGAATGAGAAGAAGAATGAGAAGAAGAATGAAAAGAAGAATGAGAAGAATGAAAAAAAGAATGAAAAGAAGAAGAAGAAGAATGAAAAGAAGAATGAAAAGAAGAAGAAGAAGAATGAAAAGAAGAAGAATGAAAAGAAGAATGAAAAGAAGAAGAAGAATGAAAAGAAGAAGAAGAAGAATGAAAAGAAGAAGAATGAAAAGAAGAAGAAGAATGAAAAGAAGAAGAAGAATGAAAAGAAGAAGAAGAATAAAAAGAAGAAGAATTCCAGTACAGCAAAAAGTGTATCTGCAGAGAGCTTCGCTATTTCTGACAGTTCTCTGACAGTTCCTTCACATTTACAGCTGTTGAAACATTGTATCTATTTGTTTCCGAATAAAAACATCTGTATCCTAAATGGAAACAAATAGATACAATGTTTCAACCGCTGTAAATGTGAAGGATCTGTCAGAGAACTGTCAGAAATAGCGGAGCTCTCTGCAGTGACACTTTTTGCCGGCTGATCGGGGAAAATTCGATTCGTGCATCCGAAGTTTGCTAAAATTCGGATTCCGTGCGAATCAAATTTTTCCTAATATTCGAAACGAATTCCACTTCGCCAAGTTCGATTCGCTCATCTCTAAATATAATGCATTTTATGCATTTCAGCAACAACACACTCAGTCGTCCTTGGGGTGACCCTGAATTTGACTGGCTCCACAAAATTCGGTCCCTCGTAAATCACCTTAACCAGAGATTTGCAGATGTATATACTCCCCAGCAAAACATCTGCCTTGATGAGTCCCTAATTAATTTTTCTGTCCGCCTTGCATTCAAACAAATTATCCCCAGCAAGCGTGCCAGATATGGTTTCAATGTCTATAAGACCTGTGAAAGGGCAATAGGCTATACATATAAGTTTCGGATTTACGAGGGAAAAAGATAGTCACATGGAGCCCCCCAGATGCCCAGACTACAATGGGAGCAGTGGCAAGATAGTTTGGGACTTGGTGTCACCCTTTTCTCATACGGGGTACCACTTATACATGGACAATTTTTATTCAAGAGTGCCACTATTTAGACATTTGCACAATTGTGGAATTGGCGCATGTGGCACTGTGCCACCTAATCACCGGGGCTTCCCCCAAAGGCTGGTAAATCCCCCTCTTAGAAAGGGGGAAAAAGCCTGCTTGAGAAATGAGGAATTGCTTGCAGTGAAGTGGAAGGACAAACGGGATGTTTTCGTCCTGTCTTCCATTCACACAGATACGGCCATCCAAATTTCCACGGCAGCTGATGTTGTTGAGAAGCCCCTCTGTGTCCACGATTATAACCTTAACATGGGAGGGGTGGACTTCAATGATTAGATGATGAAGCCGTACATAGTTTCCCGAAAAGCCAGACTTTGGTACAAAAAAATGTCTGTTTCTTTTATTTCAGTTGGCTCTATATAATGCTTTTGTGCTTTACAAAGCAACTGGACATAGTGGATTCTTCCTAAAATTCCAGAAAGAGATCATCACAGCCCTTTTGTATCCAGAAGGTGCTCTGGCCCAAACCCCCAACGCAGATGCAGTTAGCTGGCTACATGAGATGCATTTTCCCGATGCCATTCCTGGTACCCCAACCCAAATGAACCCCCAAAAAAGATGTGTCTGTAGCAGACATGGAATTAGGTGTGACAGCCGCTACTTTTTGGCCCTCCTGTCCTGGCCAACCTAGCCTCTGCATCAAGGACTGCTTCCATTGCTACC